TTGTATTTTCAACTACATTAATGGCTCAGTTTTTCAGGAAAAAAATTTAAATGCCTAGGTGACATTTATCTTTTTAAAAATGTTACAATATCTTTTACAATTTTTATCTGCCTTTCAATTTTTACTCCACTGCTACAATGAGGGGTGACTAACACAAAATATATATATTACTGTCTAATATGCCTATGTTTATGTAGCTTAGGAAAAAATTACTTCACAGACTTCTATTTCTCTCAAATTACAAATGCTAATATTTACTATTCTTAGAAGTATGAAAATATCTCTACATTAAATAGGTTGCAATTCTTAATTCCAAAAATTAACTGGTCTTGCAAAGAAAGTCAGCAAACCAGAGACAGGTAAAGCAAAAAAGTACATGAATTAAACCATGTTGAGTACCTGTTCAATGGATTTTTAATTGATTTAATATCTGCATTCCTAAATGACTAAAACATTTAGAATTTGGTTACTCACAGCTATTCAAGTGACACAATTGGAAGGAAAATCCAAGAATAAAACAGGTGAAGGTTAATATACAACTATACATAAGAATAAAGTACTATCTTTCCTCTCCTTTCTTACAGCTCAAATTCCTATCATTTACTTACAAGCAATCACATCCTTGGTTTCATCACAGCTTCGAGAGCCAAAAACAAAAACAAAAAACCCCAAAGTAGCCTATTTCTTAGAAATAACTTATATACCTTTTTTATTTCTACAGCAAGATGCCCAGGTATTGCTCTAACTTCTCTTGCAACTGTCCTGCTGATTAGGGTTGTGTTAGCTTAGCTTCAAAAAGATACACACATGCAGCAATTTCCATTGCAGCACTTTCAGGAGGGGTCACTGCAAATATCTAGTAACCTACAATGAATACAATTTATCTTATTTTTTTCTGTGTCAAACTGTTCACATATTTAATATATTTAAAACTACATGGAATACAAGTCTTCAGTACTTTTATATTTAATGTGCAACCTATGATGTGCTACTTTATAAATGTTTTACATTGCTTCATTCTTGAAGTTTTACCATGCCAAGTACACTACTAAATAATTCTAGGGCAAGGACTAAATTTTTGTATCTGTGTTTGAGTTCAAGGGGTGGTTGAAGGGGGGGGTCTAGAAAGTTTTTGTAAAGAGCTCTGTACACTTTTCTAAGTGCTTTATGTGTTTTTCAAAGTCTGTTAACCAAACTGTAAAGCCAACTGTCATGATACTGAGAAGCAAAGGTGTACCTAAATTGGAAGTACAGGCATTGATCTTGTCAGTAGTGGCACAAAAATAATTCGGGAAGTAGAAAAAAACTCCAGAAACACATAAGAATAAACTATTAGATGCTTAGCATGTTTCTTTTATATAAGGCATAACAAGTTATACATGGAAGGATATTAAAGTAAAATATAATTTCTTTTATTTTATAGGTAATTATAAGAAAATTAAGGCCAAATTCTCAAAATATTTAAGAAGAACCATATAACTAATAGAATACTTCGGTACCAATGATGACCGTATCAATAATTTAATCATTTTTATCCCAATTGGATTTAGTTCATACATATATTCACAACACACAAAATTTCCTATGCTATTTTGGGCTTTCTTCATTGAGTTTAAAAGCCAAGGAAAAATTCAGCTCTTTATGGAATGAATTACTAATAGAAATTATTTCAGTAAGCTTTTATATTCTTAGAAAGGAAAACTTACTCTAAAAAATGAGGTCTTATAAAGCAGTCACTCCTACAATTAACATGCTTTTATTGCAGTTAAAAATATTTAGTGAGAGTTTAAGTTACACTTAAGAGTAGCATTAAACCTTTTCTCCTTAAAGGTAGTTTCGGTTTAATTGCTTGGTACTATTAATCTTGCTTTATGTTTGTTACACCCGCAGACTGCAATTCTCATAACCGCATACATTTTATCACTTGTGACAATACAATAATTCATATTTCACCAGACCTACTTAGTAATTAAAATCTGCACAAACAAAAAGGCTATCTGAGGTATTAAATTTAATAATAAGCCACCCCAAGATAGGACAAGTTTCTATGTTTGCACTTATACCACTATTCTCAATTTTAAATTTCTGTGAAATTAACCTGTTATTCCCAGGGGATCAGTAACTACTGTTGGTGTTATTGCTTGGTGAATGACCCATGGAAACACCAAGAGAAATTCATTTTTACCATTCAGTTTATGAACATGACCAATTTGACTGAGGTTTAAATAAACACAGCCTTAATCCAACATGGCTGTAGTGGGTTATATATGGATAAAGAAAGTTAAATCCTAGATCTTTTTTCTCTTTTCTTTTCCTTTAACGACCCTTTAATAAGATATGGATATAGTAACCTTATAAGAATAAGTAATGTAGAAAAGCTATATCTAATTTAATTTAACAAACATTACAAGGTCATCTCTAGTAACCTGTGATCACAAAATGATAGCACTAGGTAAGCATCCTGGAACACAAAAGAACAATGTTAGATTTTTGTTCAATGATATTAATTTTGTGTTTTGCTTTCTGTTCACCTGTATTTTTCAAAGCTAATAATTAATTTTCCATGCCTAGTATGAAAAAAAAAAAACGGAATCCAAATTCTGTACTAGTATCAGAGAAAAACAAAAGCAAGGCCAGGTGCGGTGGCTCGTGTCTGTAATCCCAGCACTTTGGGAGGGTGAGAGAATTGCTTGAGGCCAGGAGTTCGAGGTGCAGTGAGCTATGATCGCTGAACAAAGGCAAGCCAGAAACGTTTACCTCTGTGGTTGGGTATCTCTTTGACCGAGTTCAGGCTTTTCTTATACTGGGTTTCCTTTTTTTTTTTTAAATTTTTTTTTTTGAGACAGAGTCTCATTTTGTTGCCCTGGCTAGAGTGAGTGCCGTGGCGTCAGCCTAGCTCACAGCAACCTCAGACTCCTGGGCTCAAGCGATCCTACTGCCTCAGCCTCCCGAGTAGCTGGGACTACAGGCATGCACCACCATGCCCGGCTAATTTTTTCTATATATTTTTAGCTGTCCAATTAATTTCTTTCTATTCTTGGTAGAGACGGGGGTCTCGCTCTTGCTCAGGCTGGTCTCGAACTCCTGAGCTCAAACAATCCGCCCGCCTCGGCCTCCCAGAGTGCTAGAATTACAGGCGTGAGCCACCGCGCCCGGCCTATACTGGGTTTCTTTTTACTTAGCTCTTTTGAAATTCGTTTACCCTGAATTTTCCTTTATATCAAATCTGTGAAAAGAATCTTAAAAATTACAACTAAACATTGCAGTTATTATAATTAGGGTTCTGAGGCAATCTTATCCTTAATTCTAACTTTTTTAGAGAACGAAGCCAAAATAAATAATTTTGTTCCAATTTCACACTTTTTAGTCTTCTAAGGGCACTGCAGAAGATGCTCAACCTGTTTAGTAAATTTTTTATCTAGTCAACTATTTCAATTAAGTTGTCTTAACACATTGACTGAGACACTAGGGAAAAAAATGTTTTTCCTTGGGGCCACAGTGTTTTATTATGAAAATAGAATAAAAACTTCAAAAATAAAATGAAACTTTCTAATAAAAAATGTGTTTTTTTTACTTGTTTTCTGTGCGTGAGTTATATGAAACCTGAAAAATAGTTCTCACGGCTCCCAAGATGAAGAGACCTGTGAGTTACATATGCTTCACAAGGCCCCGGGCTCAAAACTAGTGTGAGTTAACTACAACTCACCCAGCAATTAATGTGTTAAAAATATTTGGGATCTTGCATGCCTTACGCAAAGATTTGAATCCTTCAAGCCCATGGA